AGAACAGGGCAGCAGCGGAGACGGCTGCGTGAACAGTTTGAGAGATCTGCCTGGAGGTGGGAAGAGAGCGGGGTGGGACAGAGGTTGTGGATGGCAGAATGGCACTCTCACTGTTCACAACAGAGACACGAGCATAGCTCCATGCGAGCGCAAATGTTTCCTCATCCATGCAGAAGGGAAAGTAAACAGGTCTTGGCCGTAAAGGGGACAAGTGTTACTGACCCCCAGGCTGGCCTGTAGCAGGACAAACAGTCCTCTGCCTTCAGGATGTGCCTATATTTCTTGCTCATTCAGGTGATCTGTCATGCAGAGAACGGGAGCTGAGGTGGCCAGTGTTGCTGAGAATGGAGCTGTGTTTGCAAGGAGTCAGATGTTTCCTGACGCTGTGGTGTCTAACAGCTTACTGCCCCTGTAACCACGGGGCTGTGAAGTTGCTTACCCTGTCTCCAAGACTGACCAAACTCCAAACAAGGTGCCAAAACCTGTAGCGTAGGTGTCACGATGTGACACTGGACAGCAGGGAAGAAAAGGTTTCTCCTTCACCGCAGGTGATGAAGCCCCAGAACTGTGGTTGGTGCTGGTTATTCGGGTTGATGTAGCCTCTGTTCTGACTCTGAGCAGCCTAAGTAAGGATGATGCCAAGTACATTCGTCTTGTAATTGTTGCCAACCAGCTGCAGAACAGATGACTCTTATCCTTATGTATTATTCTTCTTAAAGAAAAAAAAAACAAAACAAAACAACAAATCAAACCATAATCATTTAAAAAAATTGAAAGGTTTATTTCTTTAGAGGTTGTTTGTCACATACTCTGCTAGAACAGTCATGGTGTCGAGGGGATTAAATCCGGTACAGATGAGAAGTTTCAATGACGTTTTATTTGGAACAAAAAACTTGTGGCTGGAAATCTTCACTGGAAGAACGGTGGTTCAGAATCGGGGATTCTGATTTTTCAGACCTGCAGCAAAGAGTATCTGTCATGATTTAAAAACTCAGATACGTTTCCTGTGTAAGTACCTTGCTGTTTCTGCCAAGACAGCCAAGCAGATTTAAAAAAAGCTGGTTGTGCTCCTATTGTGAATGTTTAGGTCATGGATCTTGTGAGTAGAGGGCATCTGCACATAATGCAAATGCATTTGGGTCTTTTTCTCCTCTGATAAACACTGAATTTTGATTGTTCATTAATGCAAAACCTTCTAATTTTTGTTTCAAGCTACCAACTAATGGTCTGGGGGGGGATTTAATTGTTTGTATCTAGGACAAGTACACATGTAAGCTACATAAGAACAGAGCAGTTAGCACCTTAGTGTGAACAGAACTCACAGAGACCCTTCTGTGCTTGGTTACAACCAAGCTTTCCGATTCCTCCCCAGGGACAGCCAAGCAGGCTTCTGGATGCTGAAGACTCAGGCTGTTCTTCCTAGGCACTTGCTAGACTGTTAATTAGAGCTACACTGGGTTTCTGCTGATCCCTGCCTGTGCCTCATCTGCTTCTAATGAGTTTATGGTCTACCTGGAAATCTTGCAAACAACTTGAGGAATGGGCGGGAGGGGAGCAATCTGTGTCAGTTATTTTCTTCTTCATTAGATAAATGTCTTGCACATAAAAAACTGAAATGCCTCATTACCTAAGGTTTGTGGTGTTTTAAACTGCTGTAAGGGCAGCTACTCTAAATGCTGAAGAAACTGAGCTCAGATTTTGCAGTGTTTTATTTTATTTATGTTGAAGTATCAGGGGGACAGGGTGTTCACTGAAGCTAGCATAAAACATGATGTGAGTCAAGAAAATTAAGCCAGTTTATAGCTGTCTAAGAAGCCAACATAACCTGCGGGGAAAAAAAAATCACTTCAAGGTGATATTACAAAGATTCAAATGGATTTGGAGAAATGCAACTAAAAACCTTTAAAGGGAGATGACATACTCTGTACCTGTACAGTAAAACAGAGTGAGGACTCCATCAGTGACTCATGTCGAGATGAATTGCAGCTCTGCGTTGTACCACATGGCTGCCAGGGAAAGATTATGAATAAACTTTACATACCATGAAATAAAGGAAGCCTTCCCCACCCCACCCCCGACCCCCCCACTTTGATAACCTGTGAAGGCAGGCTCCTAAGTATATACTAATGAATATGCAAATTGCCTTCATAATGAGGTAAGTGTGTTGTCCACCAGAGAACAGGTTATGACTAAGGCAAATGCATGTAGCCTTTTGGGGTTCTGTACCTCCTGCAGGCATATCCCTGTCTCTCGCTAACGTATAAATTGGGGCCCACCCACACACACAGGGGGTTCGTAGGCGGAATACTGAAATCAACAATTTCAGAGCTTTCAGGCAATATTACAATTTCCCTTTAACACAGATGAACTCTGTGGGCTGAGCCCAGTTCCTCATTGAGCTGAGGCACTGAGGTAGTACCAGGGCAGGTTTTGGAAGCCACCCTCAGAGTCCCTTGGGGCTGCTTCCCAGGACAGCCTGGATGTACATCCTCAGAGCTAACTCCTTGCTCCGAGCTATTGTCAAATTTGATTTCTTTCCAAATTATTCTGTGTGTAGCTAGACAATGTGTCTTGCAGTTGCTTACTGCCTGGTCATAGCCTTGTGCCCTAAGCCAAAATGAGCGCTAGTTAAACACAGAGTGGAAAATAGGTGAGATTTAGGAGGTAGAAGAACCTGGAAATGCAGGTGTAAAACAAGAATGCTGTGAGCGTGAGAACTGAAGAAGCCCAACTTCCTAGGGATTTATTTCTTTTTGTTGGTTGCAGGATCTGAGAAGTTACTAATACTGATTTAGGTCTGTCTTCTAATGAGGCATGAAGAAAGCCTCTCCCCTGTGGATCCTTTGGTGTCGGAAAAAGTTCAGTACGGCACTTAAGCTTTTTTCCCCGGCTAAGGTATGCTTAAGGTCTCTCTTCTTCACCTCACCAACTATTTTTGTGACATTTGTAAGCGTGTGCCTTTGAGAGCATTTCCCGTCAGTCAAATTTGATCAAAAGCCAGTAGAGTTGTAATGAGCATATACACATGCATGTGTGGAGACTTACGATTTAATAAGCCTCATGTCCTTAGGAGATTGGGCTAAAATAAAGCAACTATCATTTCTCTGAATAAACAGGATGATGCTGTTTCTGCTGAGACCTTTCCTACTTGAAGAAGTACAGTCAGGATCTATCTGGCACGGCTGGTTTAGCTGTTCAGCAGCTAAGCAAAAATGCGGTGTCAGTGAATATGAGAGTGCTCTGTGACAGATTTATCAATGGCAGGAGAAGAAATGGTAACTTGGGCTGCAAGATGCTGTCCACATCATGCTGGTACTTGTTGTCAGGAGAGAACAGGAGGACTCTTCCTCAGTCAGTGTGCAATGCCTTGCCATGATCGGCCAGTGGAGTACCCTGTCTTGATATAAATGCACAAGCTTCAGGGAAAAATCCCTTCTTTTTCCAGAAGTATTTAGTGTGTTACAGCTGTAGATAGTCTCATGCTAGTGCAATAGGCAGGGCATTTTATGTAAGCTGCAGGGAGCTTATTTACGAGCGCTTTCCTCCTACTGAGAGCCTCTGTGATGTTCTGGTGCAGAACAACAGGCGATCATTGATGTTTTCCCCTGTCATAGACTGGCTAGCATGTGTTCTGGAGGAGCCAACACTGTCTTCTGCATGCAGCAAAGCCAAAGCTGCATGTGTGGGAACAATGGACAGAAGGATTTTAAAGCTGAGGAGTTTCCCACCTACTGCACCTTGTGTGTTTTCTGGGGTTGTGGTGATGTGCTGTGTCTGATCAGAAGCTGGCACTGTACTCATGCAAGAGTGCTCTACATGGATTTATTTTACTTTTCCAACTGGCTATATGAGTGGTAAGTTCTTTAGGGTCTTTTTCTCTAGAGAAGAGAAACTTTAATCACATTTTAAACCGGTGGCAGTAAATACTTTCTTAAGCGTGAGCTTTGGAGGACTAAAAGACCATTCATTTCAGAACTGCTGACCCAGAAGAATAACTAGCAGTCAACACATTACGCTGAACGTGTGCTTTGAAGATAAGGCCTTTTACCTCCCTGCAGCTGTTTCAAGAGTTGCCATTTGCCAAAAGATGGATGAAGTATGTTTGTTCAAATGATAGATACCTCCTGAACAAGAGATACAGTAAGCGCATGACTTCTCTCCTTGGTTCACTAGGCAGGTCCAGAGGGAATGGATTGGTTGCAGAACTGGTGATCTGATGTAGAAATACTCAGCAGCAGGCCCCCAAAATGTGAGGCATAAATGTCGTTGGATAGTTGACGTTTTCTAGCTGTCACAAGTCTTTTGAAATTGTTCTGTTGTATATGCCAGAGTTTCACCTTTGTGCTGCCAGGCTGAACACAGAAATAATTGCAGGTAGAGGTATCCTACAGCACTCTACAGGTAAAGAGAATCAAGCTGAACCAACAGAAGAGGATTAGTAAATCTTGAATTAGTACGTGCACCTCGGACATCATGATTGGGATATTCCACATTAAATTAACTTTGTAGAATGATTTTCATTGCATCAAGTCTTAAATTGTTGTCTCTAGCCTCAGGTAAGAAGCGAGTCACCTGCAGCAGCTATCTCAAGGACATTTTCCTGACCGTGATGCTAAATTGCAACACATAAATGTCTTTTGCCTGGTACAGTCCTCGACTGTTTTCTATTGCCTCTGCTTTGAAGCGTCAGCTTTCAGTGAACTCTGCTAACATTTAATTATTGCATTGGGGCTGAGGCAGAGAAGAGCAATTAAAGGGTTGACATCTTTGGTATTTTTTTAATAGTACATGTGTCAAAATGCATTTAACAAATCATAGTTGATGCAAAAGCCCAATTAGTGCTAAAATGTAAGTATAGTTCATTTCAGTTGGGAGCAAATGAGAATTTTAAAATATATAATAACAAAAAGTGGTTGCATTATTTTAGATACAGGACCTAACTACAACTCCTGTTTCTGAGAATTGAAGTCTTAAAGCCTAAATATTCATTTCTGTCCCAGGATACAGCTGGACAAGAAAGATACAGGACCATCACTACAGCCTACTACCGAGGAGCCATGGGCTTCATCCTCATGTATGATATCACTAGTGAAGACTCCTTCAATGCAGTGCAGGACTGGTATGAAATTTTGTTGGTGGTTTGGTTTTTGGGGTTTGATTTTTGGCCAATTCTCTCCTCATAATTGTTTGTTGAGAATATTAGACATCCCACCCTCCACAGTGCTTTGCATCACCGTATTCCTTCCTCTTCATCTAAACTCTGGGATAAGTAATTTGTTTCTTAAACTCTCCTTAGAAAAAGTTCTACAGCTTCACTTTAAAGAAAAAGTTATATTTCAAATACAGTAGCATACTATAGCAGTTGTTGCTTTTATAAGTTCTAATTTATTGTAAAGAATTGAATCCTTTAATGCATTATTTGGGCTTATGAGGTTTCTGGTTATGTTGCTAAAACAATCCGGTTTAACAGTGGTTGTTCGAGTCAAAACCCATTTAAAATCTAGTAAGGCTAAATCTTTCCAAGCTACCTTAAAAAGTGGTGGTATTTTGGAACGTTCATGTGTAGACACATGGAACAGTATTCACCTTGCCTAACTTGAGGTAATTAAAAAGGTTTAAATGGGTAGCAATAAGAGGAGGAAGAGCAAGGTCTAGGACAGAAGGCAAGCATAGCCCTTGGAAGGGGCCTGTCTGTTACCACTGAGTACAGCAAGCGCTTGACCAACTTTGCGAGGCAGTGCTGAGTGTGGAATGGTGGGGTGGGGAGAAGGAGCTACCGATTAGATGGGAAGGGTGGGCCTTAGCCCTAAGACTAGATAGGAACAGACTCTCAGCTGTTATCAGCTCCTCTGGCTCCAGTGAGTTCAGTACAAATGCAGAAACACCAGCAAACAATTTCTGGACTTTCTAGTGACTAAAAGCCTGGAAATATTTTTGGCTTACAGTGAAAAAGGAAAGCACCAGGTCAGTCACTTTAAAAATTCCATGGCAGTATCATAGCTGCATTGGTACCCAGGCTTGTCCCCCCACGTTTTGGTGTGTGCTTCCCCACCTGGAGGCTCTGCTTGTAGCTCGTGCCACCCGTCTTCTTCCTCGGGAAGAAATGTCCTGTCTCACCCCACACTGCCATCTGATTTTGGAAGCGGAGCTGTGGCCCAGACCTTCTTCCTGCTCTCCGGCCTTCCAGACAAGCAGATGTACAGAGCAGGAAGAGTTGTGGTCTTCCCAGAAGAGCCAGAGCACGTGTGGTTGCTGTGGCCATGGGCAGTACCCGCAGCCCCCTCGGTGGCTGCTGATGAGAGGTGTTTCCTCAGCAGGGACACAGCACAGTGCCTGGTGTGAAAACATCTGAGCTGCTGCTGTGAGGCAGCAGCCACAGGCACAGGACAGATAAGCAGAAGGCTGGACCCTGCTGCTGGAGCCCACGTCTGGATATGGCATCCCCTCAGAGGGACACCAGACTTTGTGTAGGAAGTACAGGGCATTGGGAAAGGCCGTGTTTACCCTCACAAGTGGTACCCCTGTGGCTCCTCTCAAATGTCTTGCAGTCATTTCTGCTTGCTACCCTGTTGCTGTATACTGCAGAGAGGTATGGTCAGCGTGGAAAAAAAGGCAATGCAGTGGTTCATGTAATGTCCCAAGTCTGGTAGATTGATTTGCAATGATCTCAGTGACCTACTGGGAGCATATGACACATGTTGGCTATGGCACTGGCTCTTCGCGTCCAGCTCAGTCTGGCTTTTTCTATATCCCCTAATATAGGTTGTAATTCAATAGCTGCAACAACATGGTTTGTTGTTTCTAGTAACCTGGCCTTCTTCCAAGGCTGCCCATTATTTGTTCTTGCTGTACACTGAAGCCATTGGTCATGATCATCACATCTAAAGACACAGTCCCCGCTTTCACCCCATCTCCAGTATCATGACACCATGCTGCAGCAGATGAACCGCAGCACCTTCCCTGAGCTGTCTTTCACCAGCTAATGACAGAGGAATAACTTTTAGCTAGAAACCCAAACCCAAAGATTTTGCCAAAAACAGGTTCCTCCATGTGGCTCACCCTCCACCAAGCTCAGATGAAGCTTTTTCTGTAAGTGTCTGCACAGGGATTTTTTTTCTCGTAGGAGTGCAGTCATGTGAGCTAGGGCGATATCTTTCACTAAACTATAAATATTTTCAGCTTGGTTCCCTAATGAAACAAGGTATGTGTGATGACACAGTTCATCTACCTGTCTGTTGGTTCCGCTCTAGTAAGTTTTACTTACCAGTCTTAACTTAGCCAAAAAATATCAAATCTCAGTCTCTGAGCTGCTACTATTTTAAAGTTTTTACAGGTGAACCTTAACCTGAAGCTTTGTATTGGAAGTGGTCTAAAATCTTTTCCATCAAAGGCAGTGGTGCAAGAGTAAGAATTAGGAAAGGTCAGCTTTCTGTATTTGACTTCAGGTCCTCCTGTGCCACGAGGGTTGCATGAGTGTCTTTGCTAAGAGCACTTTGTCAGCCAAAGGACAGACGTGAACGGTCAGTTTATTTTTGCTCTGTATGTCAGGAATCTTTCCACCCAGTTTTAAGATTCTGAGCCCAAACGACGTAGTGGGGCAGATAAAATCGGCCTGTGGTAGCCCTTTTCATTTCTCTCTGAAGCTTGTCCACCGGAGAGGAGATGAGGACTGTAACAAAGCCGGCATTGCTGTGCCAGCAGAGTCCTCTAGTGGAGATGCAGCTAAGAGGTGGTTTTTCACAGTCTGCAAAATAACTTCCGAAGGGACAAGAAATGGAAACAAAAGCTTCTGCCTGGTGCTGCTGTATCAGCCCCTGCTGTCTGCTAGCATAGCAAATAAGTAGGATTTCTGGGGCTTTGTCACCATGCTGGGTGATATGCTTCAAAAAGCATTATACTGAATTTGGTCTTCAGTCAGGAACTGTACTCTCCCTGGAAAATTAAGGTGCCTACGACTTGTGCTCTTTTAGCTTGGAGCCTTTATCTCCATGAGCCTAGTCCCTTCTTCAGGTCAAGTCCGAGCCAGCAGCAGCATGCCTAATGATAAAAACAGAGCCCTGGCAGTCCTGCAGTGCTGCTGTTTGGTGCTGGTGGGAGGATGGAGTGGCAGCAACTGGGAAGCTGCACAGGCTTCGAAGTCAGCAGCATGCCCCTGATGCTCAGCCCTGCCTGCTCTTGTCCATCACACATGGACAGGACAGTCCTGCTGCTCCACCTGCTGTGCCCAGGAGTGAGAGGGCTGGACCCAGAGTGTTTGGGACATGAGATGGTCTGATCAGAGGACAAGTGCCTGAACCCCCTCTTCTGCACTATTGACACTGTTACCCTCAGTAGTGTTGCTCCTATCTTCCCAGGAAATGGCAAAGTTGCAAGCTGCTTTTCACCTTGCAAGGAACACGTATGGCCCCATACGTGAGTTGCCTCTCTGCTTGCAGAGGTTTAGGTGAGTCTACAACAAACCACGCTGGTTCTAAGACCATGCTTCAACCCTCACTGCAATTAAACGGGGCATCCACCTAACATATATGCAAAAGCTAACTGCAAAGCTCATCCCAGGTCTTCTTACATCCTGCAAGTTTCCGGAAATTACAGCAATTAATCCTGCACATCCTGTCCCTCTTTTAAGTGTCCTGCTGTCCTAGCTGGCTAGTGATGCATTCTTCAGTGTCCAGCTACAGTAAATAAAGAACACTAAGGTGAATATTTTGCCATAGATGCAGCATGATGCAGCAGATCGGCTGACGTTTTAGACATTGAGAATAACTCAGCAGTACTCAGTTAATGTGAATTAAATCCAGTAAGGAACCTGTTAACGTTTCCAGTTACTTCTAAAATAGCATGTGTGGATGAAATTTGAGTGTTTTTCTGGCATAAAAAGATGAGTAAGCCACCTGCCATGTGATCATGGGACTGGGTTCATAAAGCAAATACAATCCAACTTAGGAGGATACCTCAAGAAAATTGTCAGCAAATAAAATATGAAGTGATGCCCCTTCTGCTAACTTTTCACTGCTGCCCATCCCAGTCCATTCTCAGTGGCTGGTAAGAATTTCCCACCTAAACATAGTTCCTGGATCCTAAAATCGTACCCATTCACAAAACCTTGGAATGGGTCAAGTTGTGTACAGTAGTCATCTATGTGTTTTACAGTAGGACATTGTCCAGTCTAAAGCTTGTTCCTTCTTGCTGGTGCCCAGCCCGTTGCTATTTAGTGATTCTGGTTTGTAAGATGCTGCGTAAGCAGGCTGTCAACATGAGTCTTAGCCCATCTCACTGCTTTCTCTTGTACCGTCTCTTCCTGCAGAGTTTCCTACAGAAAACAAGCCAAAAGCATGAACAAACAGCTGAACCAGGGACCTAGCACGCCAAGTAAGCTCTCGCCCATGACAAACTCTTACCTTCTGTTGAGCTCATAGGGGTGTGCATAGATCTCAAAACTCATCTTCATAATTACACTGAAATTGTGGGAAGGTAGCCTTGTGCAAAGTCAGCTCTCCATCAGAGAGAAGTCTTTTCCCTTCTAGACCTCTCCAGCATCTTGGAGCTGATATCCTCCCTCTAGCTGGGAAATTGCCACAGCCGGTTGTGCCCACTAGCCGTGCTATTTTCCAAGTCTGTTCACGAAGCTCCAACATCCCCTCTCAAACTGCCTCCCATGTGTGTACGGTGCAATTTACCTCTCGTCTCTGGCTCATTGGCATGTGACTGTTTTAACAGCCTCCTGACCTGGCCTCACCTGCCCGCAGGGAAAATGAGAATATCTGTTCCAGTCTGCCTTAGGATTTCTTCCTTGGGTGACCTTTTTGCTGCACCCTTCTTATGGGAGGATGTCCTAAAGAGGATTCTGGTTTGCTTTGTGCACTCCAGAAATACTTCTCCTAAACCTTCCTCCTGAGTGAGGAGGATCGTGGCTGTGTATCAGGTATTCAGACAAGCTCTCAGGGTAGTTTATGAATGTGAGGTACAGTCTTTCCTTCATTCACATGAATCACGCTAATTAATGATAAATATCTTAAAGTAGCTGAGAAAAAGTAAGATACACAATTTAAATTTAAATTAACACAAATTTGGGAATATCTAGAACATGACCTGTTCTCTTGTTCCTTCGCTGGGAAAGGTACAGCAGGTTGTATGAGAAGCCTTAAAAGATTAAGCCTGAGTGATTTTCCTTACTGCGGTGTGGCAAGAGTACAGTCAGGTTATTTTAGAAGAAAAAGCATAAATGGGCAAAAGCAAAGATGGATTTTACCTGGTACTGGAAAATAACTAATTATTTTGTTTAAATAATAAGACTTATTTCCTGTAGGGTGAGTTAACGGGTTAAATGAGTTTTCATCGCTTTCAGCTCAGTTTCTAGATTTTTTCTGTAGGCTTCTTTGACAGTTATTATTTGATATGGGCTCGATAGCTTTGTGTGTAGATAAATCAGTGGTTTATATCTCATTTGAAACTCTACTGAAACTAGAACATACTCAGCATTTGATACTGTAAAGTAAATAGAAAATATTATGGAAACTCTGCTTTGGACAATCTAGACAATTTCATAGAAGAGAAGAAAAAAAAGGTCAAATTTAACTTAGATGTAAGTGACACTGTGTTCACCAATCATCAGCTTTATTTATCTTTAAGGCTGGTCTCCAAATTAGGCTGTTGATATGTCCATGTAACTGTGAACCTGAGATTTATTTTTCTTCTAAGCATGAAGCATAAAAACCGTGCTTTATCATCAGTTTGGGGAATTCAGCACAAATAAGGCACAGCATTGTTACTGTGTCACAGAAATATATTTTCCCAGTGTGTATACTGGACTGCCCTGACCGTTATTCCTAATAAGTGTAAATGCCAGTGTTCTGCAAGAGAGGATTTTCACTGACTTGTGCAGAACAAGGAGTAGGATGCGTTTCTGTGGGAGACCCTTCATGCTTTTTTCTTCTTTTTCATTTTCTAAGTAATTATGTTTAAATAGCTATGATTTGGCACTGTGTCCTCATATGACCCCCCCCAGGGGCTGAAATGAATCCAGCGAGAGGAGTGGGAGTTGGAAGAGGAGCCTGGTTATAGGTGTTTTAAATAGAACCTGGACAGAGTTACTTTCTCTCTATTGCTTGTAGAGGGAGACTGGGGAGACTTCATCCACCTGGGCTTTGGTGGATTTCTGAGGTCATCCCTTGCTGTGGCGATCCTTGAGAAACCCCAGAGTACCGCATAAACTCATCACAGGCTCATATTAGCTCTCACAGGGCTTTTCTAAATGGAGGCACTCAGAAGGGTGAAAGTGGAGGAGCCAAAATCAGGATTGGATTGAGTGCCTTTCCAGGAGGACACTAAGAAGAGTGAGAAGTTTCACTGCAGAAAGTCCTTGATGATTGTTGCCTGTTGCAGTATGGGTCTGGGCTTGTGCACTGGGCTTCGTTCAGGTTTATGTTTTCCAGTGCAATCCAAACCGGCTGCTGCTAAAGGCAAGCTGCACAGTGAAATGACCTTTTTTCATAGACATCTGTGGAGTAACATGATTGTCTGCTTACCATGAAAAAGGCAAGTAAGCAACTCAAACTGATTAAAAATTATCATGAGTAGATCAGAGCTGGAGGCTGCTGCTAATTCAGAAGAGAAAAGATCAAGTGCTTCATTGTTAAGGGAGTTGAAGCAAACTAAACAGAAGTAAAATCTGAGGGGACTCCTGGCTCCCCTGCGAAATGGCAGGTTTGTCTGAAACTGAGGCGTCCTGTATGGAGGGATGGAGAGCAGGGACAAAGAGTGGGAAGGTGGGTGAGGGACTGGAGGAGGGGAGGAGTGTGTCACTTCTGGCTGAGCAGCCTAATTACCTTTGGGAAGGAGGGAGTCGTAAAAGATAGCGCTGACTTGGTGAAGATAAAATAAGTTGGGCCACTCTGGAAAAAATGGATGAAAATGAATGTTACCAAGCTAATACTGTTCTGTTTCTGGCTCTGTGACACCTCGCCAAGGATGGTGCGAAAGGATTGGCTTCTCAGGATAAAAAAAAAAAATAATAAAAAAAAATCTTCTGTTTTGTCACAGAAAAACTGTAAAGAGGCCAAATATAAGGTCAGGCTCCTGGGGTCCACAGCTAGCTCCGCTCCAGTTCCAGCACATGAGCCACAGAGAGTTTTAGAGGCTGTTAAGTTCATCCCAGTGCTCCTGCTTAAGCTCCCATGCACTTGATGCCTCTGTCATTGAAGTCAGCATTTGTCTGACACTTGCCATCTGTCATTGCACCTGCTGTGTCCTGCCTTAGGTATCACTTCATCCTGCTGGGTTCAAATATTGGCTCACAGAGCCTTAGCTTGATCCCGTATCTTCCCGATTTGGTAAATTTCTGTTTCTCTTCAGAGGTTCTTTCCATGATTCTGTGCCATTTTCAGTCTCTGTGAAGTAGTTTTCCTGTTCAAGCAAAGATGACTTGATGCTTCCATCTGTTTGACTCTCAAAACACAATTTCTTATGTTGTTACTAAAAACACTCTGCAGTGAATGTGCTGCAGCAAATGAGCATCTTTTTTTGCCTGTTCTGAATAATTGTTGTTATGTGTATCTGTGGTATGGCTTGCTCTATAGGCACAATATCCTTAAGAGGTGTAATTGACAGATTACAGCTGAAGGAGAATAAGCTTTAGAAGAATGCTTTTTGGTCCCTAGACTTCAAAAATTATTCAGTTCAGCTTTTTGTCTGGATCTCATGATCTTTAAAACACTTGCAAAGTCTTAACAAGAAACTTCATTGTCTCACAAACTTAAGGAGCAGTAAAATAGATGGTGCTATAAATTATATAGGCTGCATTCTTGCTTTATGTGTAAGCTTGGTCATTTGTCTTTTAACTAACACACAGTCTTGAGACATTGATGTTATCATTAACGGTACTTGTTTCCATGCTTACTGTGTGATTGTATTTTGGCACAGCTGATGGAACATGACAATCTTTTCTGACCTGCTGTAGGGCCACACAAATCAAGACTTACTCATGGGACAACGCGCAAGTGATCCTGGTCGGAAACAAATGTGATATGGAGGATGAAAGAACCGTTCCTGTGGAGAAGGGGAAACATCTGGCGGATCAGCTGGGTACATGTCGAAGTTTTTCTTTCTACTTTTTTTCCTGTGCTTCTTTATACTGTGTTTGTACGATAGGAAGTCCTTCCAGCAGTAATACTTCAACAACGGTATCACAGCTAAGAAGCATGATATATTTTAGGTCCATACTTCACTTGATTAGTGCTGAACATTACCTTCTTGTAGTGTTGCTGTATCTGTAAAGCTAATATCTAAGGATGTAAGGAAGATAAAGTTTGGCTGGAGAGAACAGCTTTTATTAGCTCGGCAGAATGAAAAGAGGAAAAAGTTTTCATAAACATAATTCTGTCTCCAAGTCTCTAAGTACCATATAGTCATTTTCAGAAGGCAAACATTGATTTTTGTAGATTATTTTTTTTGGCAAATAATGAAAAAAGAGTTTTATACGTCAGAATTGTAGAGTTGAGTAAAATATATTTTAAAAATGTACCAGGCTCCTCTATCCAGGTAGGGAAATGACATTGTGTTATTGATGTGGGATAGAAAAAGCTAACAGTTCTGTTGAGAGGGAGCTGGGATTGCAATGAACATTTTAGAATGAACAGCAAAATAAACTCATCCTAATTTCTCCTTTATGTATCATTTTTCTTTATGTATTATAGCATATCTGATCATTTTAATATGGAATCAGGGCTTCTGTGTTAAGATTTGACTATACTGTCATCTTCTCTTAAAGAATTCTTAGTGGCAAGTAAATCCCGTTAAAATTTAATTCATTTAACAGTGGAGACCCTTACGGTGGGCACACCGTAAGTATTTGTTTATCTTGTAAGAGCAGAGATTCCTACCAGACCCAAAGGAATTGCCGTGATCCCCAGTTTATAAAATCCTATGCTGTCTTCAGTTCTTAAGCAGTAATTGGAGGGTGCATAATACGTTGTTACACAGGGGGTACTGGAGTTCCAGTACACACTGCATACATCATTGTAGTTTAAAGTGTGACCTTGAGCAAATTGCCAGTTGTGGTTAAATCTTAGATAATGCGTATTTATTAGTTGGGGGTATGTTATTGTTGGTTTGGGTTTTTTTAATGAAAGGAAGGTATAGAAAACCTGCTCATAGGTAAGTATAAAGTGATAGGGACCTGTGTGATATAAACAAAAATATGGTCACTGTTCCCGAAGACTTAAGAGCAATTAGATTATTTTTTTTCATGTTTCATGTGCAAAAAGAATAAGCATGTCTGCAAAGGCCTGCAGGGTTTAGAGCCTTGAAGTGTGAATTCTGCACGTGCTAAGCACAAAGGGGTCCCCGTTCATGACTGGAGCCTTGACGCACTGCCATCATAAACAGATAATGAGCAAATACCAAACTAAACCCTCTAATTTCCCATCATTATTATTATTGTCATAATAATTCTTTACATGTAGGACTAGCAAAGCAAACAAAGACATGGTTAGTTTGCAAAATCAGTTATGGGCTCTTTTTTACACATCAGAATCTGATTTTCTTTTGAAAATAGGAATGTGAATAAACTCGATTCCTGGCTTGCAGACTCTCAAAACCATTGTGAACGCAAGCAGAACCACGTATTTTCTGAGAGTAATTACACTGTTGGTAGTTGAAAATTTATCCAGAACAATGTAACAGCAAATAGAGAGTTTTACTGGAACTCCCACTCCTATTTGGACTTATAATGGTTTTTGTCTCCCCAAAATTCATCTGTTTGTTTAAATACAAACTTGGCACCTAGAATCTGAATCCTTTACATGTGGGACACTTCAAAACACAGGTGTGCACAGAGTTACCATAGCAACTGACTCCATCAGTAGGCAGTGGTTCTGCTGAAGAATCCCCTGACCCGTCATTGCGCTTGTCCAGCTCACCCTGGAGAAACACACCCCAGAGCAGAGCAGAGCGAAACAAGAGCTAACCATGCCTTTGGAAAGTGCTGTCCCAGCCTGCCTCTTCTACTAAATGCTCTTTTTAAAAGGGCTGAAAAATGTATCTGGTTTTATCAGTCAGTTTTTCCTTGTATTAATTGTGCTAATGTGTTAGCATTACCTGAAATTACTTTGTGTGTTAGGTGGGAGGAATCTCTTTAATTGACTATGGACTGCTTAAACTGCTAGCTTTCATGGTAATGAGTCACATAAAGGTCATCCTTCAGCATGTTTATGTAAGTTTGTATAGCGACATTAACATCATTGAAATAATTTTCTCATCAGACTGAGAAACTGTTACTGGCCTGAACGTGAACTAAACCAAAACAGATTCAGCCACAGCAGAAGCTAAACCAATGTTGGACTGACAGATATCCGAGTTCAGTTCTCTGGTTCCTTGTGCCTTTATATACATTTTTAATCATCGTCAAAGACAGCAAGTGGGGCAGACAGAACCCTCATCTGATGCAGGATAGCCATCCTTATTTAGTAACGAGGCAAACACCTCCACCATCACTTCACCCATTGCCCCATGATTTTTAAAAAGTGTTGGAACTGGGTAGATACCTACTGGCTACCTCACGTGTCAATGTGACTCAGTTTACCAGCAGTGGCGGACTAATCAGTGAAGACAACTTATCTTTCCCTTCATTTGTGGCAGAATCAGAGAAAACTAATGCAATGCAGAATGCTCCAAAAATGAAGCACAACAGAACATAGCTTATTTGCAAAATAAACTCGCTGTGGTGCATGAGCTCTGGCTGTTGGCGATATAATAACCTGGTAGAAAAGAAGCAACAGTAAGTGATGGTTGGCCTTTTAGGCCCCTGGGTTTAGAAAGATAAATAAATGTTTCACAGTTCAGCGCGTTTCTGCTGGCTGTGGCAGGGTTCGGGCTCATCTGTGAGAAGGCTGGTTCTTGCGTAACACGGGGTGTCAATGGGAGGCAGCAGGAGTAGCTGTCTGTGCCGTCCCCACCTTGGCATAACTCCAGCCTTGCTGGAGCTTTTTTAATCAGAAAGGGTCAATGTTTGAGAATCCGTACTCATCACTGCAGCTCGGAGCTGGCAGCTGGATGCTGAAATTACTCTGTAGGAGGCACACAACGCTATTTGTAATTCAGCAGTGCTGAACGGCCTTTGTCAGGACAGGTGCTCTGTCGTGACGTGTGCTGTGTGAGTATTAATCACCTGGAAGAGCCTTCCATCTAAACAGACAAAGAATGGGAAAAAAACCCAAGACCAGAGTCATGGAGCATTTTGCTCACAAGTGCAGAAGTTGGTCAGCAGAAGGAAAACAACCATGATCTTGTTTCTCCTCCTGGTCTCTGCTCTTGCCAGATCGCAGCAGTGGTTGGCAGAGTGCGGCTGCCCGTGCCGCGCAGGGGTGCGTGGAGCCCTGGTAGCCCCTCCTTATCCTGTGTTCAGTCAGATCTGTGTTTACCAGGGTGATGGTAAGGGTCTGTTCATCCCTTTGACTCTGACTGATACTTGATAAATTTTAGTAGTATTTCTGCTCACTGTTCTGAGATTGTGGGAATCAACTGAGCTTAAGAATTGTCTAATGTCTTGTTTTCTTAAGGTGAATTCTGGAAAAACTGGTTAGTATTTTAAAAACCATCTCCAATATCATCAGTCTCTACTGAATTTTTTTTTTCCACTTCTCACAGGTTTTGACTATTTTGAAGCTAGTGCCAAAGAAAACATCAACGTGAGGCAGGTGTTTGAGCGTCTCGTGGATATAATCTGTGAAAAGATGTCGGAGAGTATAGAATCAGACCCTTCCAGGGGCACTTCCGGAAGGAGCATGCGACTCACAGACAACCCAGCCCCTCTGCAGCAGAATTGTTCGTGCTAGTGACCTTTCTCGCTGAGAAATGTCCTTCTCCTTTCCTGACTAAATTTGATCTTTTCATTTGTGGTGGTGCATTATCATGTAGTCCAAAGGCAGAAGTCTCTGTTGTAGGAAACTTGTCTGTTTGTTTAATGTGCTGCAGTGTTAATATTATGTATTTCCTCATCCGATAATTTAAAAAAAAGAATCTGACTGAATATCGTAAGTGCAGCTAGTGTTAATGTGAGTTACACTGAAGAAAAATAATTGCATAGTGTTGCAAATGTTATTTCCACTGAGAATGCTGCATTTTTAATTATAAATTCCTCCACTGCAGAAAGAGGTTTTTCTGTCAGGAACAGCAGGAAACATAAAAACCAATCAGAAGGGACCAGGTCTAAAAGAAATTGGGTATAAAAATCTCTTAAAAAGCAAAAATATGCCTTTTTTTTACATTAGAAAAAAAAAATCAGTCACCAGGTATTTTGAGTCATTGTTGCTGTCCCCTAGACACAGACCTCAGTTTTTCTGTATGATGGAGCAGAAAGCGCTGCGTTTCTGGCAGTCTGAGGTCCTCCAGAGAGCAAAGCGGAAGGCAGGGTGGATTTTGTGTCAAGCCTCTAAACAGAGGAAGAACCCATGGAGGAATCAAAGCTGCCAGGCAGGGGAGGAGGAGGAGGAAGAAGAGGAAAAGGCCTTGTGGCCATACCTGCCTTTCCCTGTGCTCTTGGGTGGCGCGGGCGAAGGACCGAGAGCCCCTCCCTGGGCTGCCCTCACCTGCGAGCTTCCCGCAGCCACTGGTG